CTCAGTTCTAAGCATCAGAAACTTCAAAAAAGAATTACAAAAAAGCATTATGAACAAGAATCTCATCAATCTTACTAATATCTCCTACTTGTTAGAGTTAGCATCATGTCTAACTATCTACATGCATTTCATGCCTTTTTTTATATTTTTTCTCACATAACAATCACTTTTCATGTGACTTTTTTGACAGCAGAAATTACACATAATCAAGAAGTTATTTACATGAACAGGTTTAATAAATTTTACTTATCTTCTCTTATAAATAGCAAATTCGTTGGAATTAGAATTCAACCTATTCTTTTGAAAATAAACTTGTTTCTTGTGTTTAACCAATTCATTTAGACCATCCATTCTTCTTTTCAAATCACCTTGTTCCTTTTTGAACAATTCACAAATCTTTGTTTTTTTATCAAGTTCAAAGTGTAAAGCAGTCTCACTCTTTTTGAAATAATTATTTTCAGCTTTCAACTTTTTATTTTGTTTAAAAAGATTTGCATTATCTCAAAGTAAAAAACTAATTTTTTGTTTTAACTCCTTGTTTCTAGCATAGGATTTTTTTAAACTATCATGCAATTTTATAATGAAAGATTCAAGATCATCATCAGTTTCATCATCACTTTCCAATTGAGAGTTACAAGATGTTACCTCATCATCTCCAATGGGCATAAAAGCCAATTGAGCAGATTCTTCATCCTCTTCAATTTCACCATCGGAGTTGCACTCATTCCATGTGAATTAAAATTTGTTGAATCTTGATTTTCTTCTTTCTTTCTTCTTCATCACTGGACACTCACTTGTATAGTGTCCAGGTTAGCCGCATTCAAAACACTTATCAGTTTGCTTTTTGTTGAATTTAAGCTTCCCTATGTTTCTCAAGTTGTTGGACTGATTCGGAAAGGAGTTGTTAGGTCCACTTTTTCTGAATCTCCTCTTGTTGAGTATTCTTTTGAAGTCTCGTGTGATGAGTGCAATATCACTGTCATCACCTTCCATGTCATCTTCACTCACGGAGGCTGTATCATCTTCATCTTGTGAAACCTTCAGAGCAATATTCTTTCTCACTTTTGTGTCTTCTTCTTCCTGCACCTTGGACTTGAATTTTAGCTCATAAAAAGTCAGTGAATTAATGAGAGATTCAATAGGCAAGATATTTAGATCTTTGGCTTCCTCAATGGCAGTCACTTTACTCTCTCAATCCTTCGATAAAGCATTCAGAATTTTTCTGTTTTTCTCACCTAGAGAGTATTCTTTTTTCAGCACCTCCAAATCCTTAATGAGGTCATTGAATCTACAATACATCTCATCAATGTTTTTATGAGGTTGCATCTTGAAGGATTCATACTTTGTAACTAGACTGGACTTCTTTTGTTCTCTAACATTCTCACTACCTTCATGAATTTCTCTCAATTTATCCCAAATTCCTTGGCTGACTTGCAGCCTTTGAATCTAATAGATTCATTTGAGTCTAAAGCACAATATAACACATTCATGACTTTTACATTTAATGTGAGATGAGCTCTATCCGCAGCAATCAGTTAACTTCTTGTTTTTTGTTTAGATCTCTGAGTATTTTCATTTATAAGAGAGGCATCATATGGACTTTCACTAATAATAAATCATAATTCAATATCAATAAATTGCAAAAATATAATCATTCTTTCTTTCCAACTCACATAATTTGATCCATTAAATATAGGTGGTCTAATGACAGAATGTCCTTCAAAAAACATAACATTGTTGGTTGTCATATTTACTCCAAAGTCGATTGAGTTTAATTTCTAGGAGACCAAACTCTGATACCAATTGTAAGCCTCGAAAACAACCAATGAGACAATTAACAAGAAAATAAGGCTGCTTGGGAGTAGAAAATATAATCAATTTAAAGAGTACAAACGTAACAATAAGTAAATAAAAAGGAAAGAATTGCAAACCAATTAACTATCCAACTCCTCTTGAGCTTGTAGATTAATTCAGACAAACTACTTCAAGTTGATGAATTACAATCATTCTTGTGTACAAAGAAAGGCTCACATCCTCCTTGCCCGGAACTCCACTCGGTCAATCCAGGACATTTTACTATCCCTCAGGACAACCCTCACAGAATTACACTCATGAAATATTCACTCACAAATAAAAAACTTACAATGAACCTCACACCACTAAGACTACAAATCTTCTTTTGAAAGTATTTTCTCATTAAAATCACTCTAGATCTTTTATATCTTCAGTGTGTCAAAGTTGTTTCAAGTATTTGACCAACCACTATTCATATAGGATCAAAAAAGTACCTCATTAATGCTTCCAACGGATAGAAAGTAGCTGAAGAATCAACTAGCCGTTGGAGTGTCGAACGTTCGATAGCCCTGTTTTATGCGTTCGACAGCAGGCAGTAAGTTTAAGAGATTTTCTTCAATTCTTTCGGACGTCCGGTGCAAGCTTTTTGTGCGTCCGACAGCAAACAAAGAGATTTGAGAAATTATTTTGTTTCTATCGCATGTCCGGTAGAGACACATTCAGCGTCCGATAGTTTTGTCGACTTCGAAGGATCCTATTGGACGTCCGAAGCATGCGTCCGAAGTTATGCAATGATTATCGAACGTCCAGTACTGTCTTCTTGAGCGTCCGACAGGTTCAGCATATTCTGTCTTTTTCAAATGTGCTTAATCTTTGAACTTGATTTGATTCATTTTTTAAAAAGCTTTTGAGAAGATGTTAGCAACATCCATTTGTTTTGTAATCATCAAAAGTTAGGGATCAAGGTCAACAGGTTTGCATATAGTCCAGAAGCTTAAGATCTTCCAAAAAATTTTGAGATTCGCAAGGAAAAGACACATAGAGGACCAAACTTTAAAAAAGTTACGGAAAAAATGATCATCTGTAAAACGAAAAGGAAAAAGAAAACCACGACCTCCAGTGGTAGTGTCTTTCACAATCCAATAAGTCTATGATTGCGTAAAACTCATTCAGTTCTTTGTACAATACAATAGCACCAAAATTTGAAGTGTTTTTTTCAACATAATGATAGTATGTATAGAGAAAAAATGGGAAAATGTCAAATCTATTTCAAAAATAAATATCATACATATCTGAGACAATTCAAAAGGTATCCACCATTTGACAATAGTCCATTAGCAGCATGCAAATAATTAAGGATCTAAGGCTGAAATTCAAGAACCACTCTATCCAATAGTGACCATTCTTCAATCAAAATGCCACAAAAAAAATGGAAAATATAACATTTTTAACTTAAAAATTTTACTATTCCACGAATTAGTTTTAGAACGATTGAATCTTGATTTGGTCACTCCTTTAATATAGTAAAGTATGTTAATAACATAACCAAAGTACAAAAAAAAAGTAGATAATTTAAGAAATAGGATCTGAATGCAAACGAATCCTAACATCTTCTTGTTATTCAGCCGCAAAAAATTAACTATACTTTTTCAACAAATGAAGAAATTGGAAAGACCAACATATCATACCAAATTTTTTATTGCCTACAAAGATTAAAACCATTTTAGGGACCAGTAAATCTACTATAATTTAGGTTGTATTCTCAAAATGTTATCCCCAGTAGATGATTACAAGCCAATCTTAGCTTCTCATAACCAAATCAATAGGAATTTTATTTTAAAAAAAAACTGGCATTTTTGTAAACAAAAATAAGTAAATGATGTTCTTGTAAAAGAAAAAAGAAAGGCAAGATCTTTGCAAATACGCAAGGAAGAGGTATTTAAAACAAGTATCTAAATTAGTAGGGCTCCATGATCACTTACAGTGCTATTGGCTATTAGTCAAAGAAAACCCAGAAACTAAGAACACACAAAATATTTTCTTGTCAAGGATTCACAATAGAAAACCTGGAAAATTACAATCGAAACTTAATTTACCAAAATAAAACATGAAATTTACCAACTTTTCCCACCTGCAATCACAAAAAAAAAAGGTCTAGTTCAGATCAATTAAGTAGAAGGTGAAAACAACATGAACAGAAAATTTAATGAAAGAAAAATCTCAAAATATTCAGGTTCAAAACCTAAAAGAATTTCAGATTTGACTCTACCACTTGTTCATCGCATACATGAATAGAAAAAGGGTGAAAGGAAAAAGAGGATTTTGACCCAAAAAAAATAAAAATAAGAGAGAAGAAGACGAAAGGAAGATGACCAAGCAGAGGCAGAAACATCTGGAGCCCTTTTATTCTGCAATATAAAAAAAATAAACTGCATTAGTTTGCTCAAAAAGCTACAACTAAACCTCCCATTTTGCTAAAAAAAAGAAAAAAAATTAAAGGGCTAGATTATTTTTAGCAGAGGAAGAAAGAACCTCAGAGCAAATTATTTTTTCTTCTTACCATTTGTTCTCGCCAAGATAGATAGAAGATAAGAAGATGAAGACGATGATGAGCATGAAGATGAAAGGCTGAGGGGGGTTTGGGTGATGATGAAAAGCGACAAACCATGGATGGAGAGGAGGAGAAAAGACGATTCTGAGTTCTGAAGCATCGAGCAGTCAATTCTCACCAAACCCACATGGGTTTCTTTTACAAAGTTTAAAAAAAACGTGAAAGTCACGTGGGATCAGATTTCAGATTTCAGTGGAAGACTTCCAAACAAACAAAAAAAGTTTAAAAAAACGTGAAAGTCACGTGGGATCAGATTTCAGTAGAAGACTTCCAAACAAACAAAAAAAATTGTCAGACGTCCAGTTCACACGAGCAGGATGACCATCAATTGGCCAATGGCAGATCGACACATCAGCAATTAGAATCAATTGGGAAGACTTGCATCCCCCAGTGGACTTAGATATGTTAATAATAAAGGATATGAGCATTTCACATCTACCAACCACATTTAATAACATATGGTGGTATGATAGTTAGATGATTGACCAATAGACTTGGTTCCATGTTAATTTAATAGTCAGTCATCTTGATGCATATTTTATTTATGTAGTTTAGTACTTTAGTCTTGTGATTGAACTAGCTCCGATGATACAGCATGTCCAAAGACAGATGTAAACGAGTGACTACTCAAATTGATCTAAAGCTTTCTGGGATGTCAAATTCAACCACTACTGAGCAAAGGATCTTCAGAGTCCATCACAGACTTCGAAGTCAGAATGAAGAGGCATACGAACCACAAATGTTTTCCATTGGACCTTATCATTGCGGTAAGAGTTCCTTGGAAGAAGGGCAGACGCATAAGCTGAGGTACTTGAAAGAGCTTCTTTCTCGGACAGGCGAGTCAAGTGCTGAGAAATACATCGAGGCCTTGACAAATCTTGAAGACAAAGCTCGAGGGTGGTATGCAGAGGACGACCTGATCGGTCTTGGTGCTGATGAATTTGTAGAAATGATGTGTCTTGACGGGTGCTTTATCATTGATTTCTTCAGGAAATTCGGTGCTAAGTATGGCACAGTTGATGTTAATTATCTCCCCAAAGCAGATGATCCCATTTTCCAAAAGCGTTGGATAATGGGATCTTTGTTCAGGGACATATTATTGTTTGAAAATCAGCTGCCCTTTTTCATCCTTGTTCAATTGTTTGACATGACCAAGCCACCAGGTGGGGCTATAGAAGTGAACCTAATTGATCTTGCCACTTTCCCTGAATCCCCTCTACATTCCTTTTTCCCTGGTGAAAAACCTGAATCATTCACAAATCCTACCACAGTTCTTAGAGATCGTGATGCACAGCATGTAGTTCATCTTCTTCACCTCGTGCACGAATGCTGGTGCTGGTCATTCGCTGCAAAACTAAGGGCGCCGGCTGATGTTGAAATCCAAGGAAACAGGGTTTCACGAGTCGTTTACTCCACAAGGGGCGGGAATTTGGAGCATATAGAGTCTGCAAGCGAGCTACGACAAACAGGAATCAAGTTTGAGAAGGCTAAGCAAAGTGTATCGTGGCTCGATATTACTTTTGAAAGAGGGGTAATGAAAATCCCGCCTTTGTACGTTCATGATGTTACAGAATGTGTTCTGAGAAACTTAATCGCCTACGAGATGTACACGCTTAATGGACCCTGGGATAGGAAATATGTACTCGATTACGTGACCTTCATGGATAGTCTCATAGATTCCTCCAGCGATGTTGAAAAGCTTCGAAGCAGGAAAATTATGACCAAGTGGCTAGGCGATGATGAAGCGATTTCATCAATGTTTAACAAACTGGGAAAGGAGGTTGAGTTTGATCAAGGCAACAGGCTCTTCTGCTACTGGAAAGTTTTCCAGCGAGTGAACGAGTACTCTAGCAGCCGTTGGAATACCTGGAGGGCTCATCTGCTAAGGAATTATTTCAACAATCCATGGTCCATCATTTCATTTCTTGCTGCCCTGGTGTTGCTGTTTCTCACTCTTGTAGCTACCATATCTTCCATCCTACAATATACAGACCAGCCAAACTGTATATGTAAATCGTCCTAGTAGTTAACAGTACTTGGTAATTCGACCAAGCGTGTGCTTGTTTATTTTGCAATTAAGAGAGTATATTGCGAAGTTGTATGTTTCTCACTTCTCAATGTTATTGTTTCATCATTATACCAGATCGTATGCAAATGAGATTTTTATATGCTAATTTGTGTCAGTTCAGTTCAGGTTTTACATTTCTCGTCAATTATCATACACAATAGTATATTTTACGGTATTATAAACTCGGATCAGACCAGCCGATTTGATCGGTTGAAGTGGACAATAGGTGCATGGACCCAAAATCAAACAAAATAGTAAACAAGGAAAACAGGGGAGGTTACATTGCTTAGAAAATGAAGCAAAATAATTATGGATGGGAACATGTACAGCTTTTTCCACAAATATATATATATATATATATATATATATATCTATATATCTATATATGAAAGCAGCTATTTTAATTAGACTGTTTCTCACTCCTATTTGGCATGCTTAATTGAACAGTATTTACAGGTCAAGTTTTCTTTTGGATTGACCCAATTAATTGGTTAGTGTTAATAATATCGCTTCTTTCCAAGTTTTCAGAATAGAAATATCTAATCCACTTAATCATATATCTTTCAAAATAGACATATCTTATCCACTTAATCACAAATCTTTCAAAATCCTATGTTTAAAAAAATCACCTCATCTTCGAAATTTTCTCTTTACCTTTTTTCACACAAACAGTATCCACTTATTTTGATCATGAATAGATAAACCTATTATCTATTGTGAAATTGCATTTAGAATCCACTTATTTTTATCATGAACAGATGATATCTATTGTGAAAATTCATTCAGATATAAAATCATCAAAATTGGAAATCTTATTCTCATATCATATTAACCTCAAATTTGAAATCCTATCCCATACTTATAAAGTGTATTAGTCAGTAATGATTTTAATCATTTCAGCGACTATTTGGTTCATCTATTGGTTTATACATTTTTTTTTTAGAAACTTTATGCCTCATATGACGATGATTTAGTAGTGGTTCTTTTGATACATCAGCTTTATAAGTTTTAGAGTACAAAAGGCTCTAAAAATGTTTGCCCACCTTTTTGGGTTTTTTAAATATATAAGATGATTTTTGAGAACACAATGTTTTTGCGTGGTGTTTTTGTTGACTATATGAATGCATGGTCAGTTCCTACCTTTTTTGTACCTCCTTAATTGCTTTATTTATCAAATCTTTTTTCTAATGTAGGTTTAATTTTGTACCAAGAGAACATCTAACCTTTCAATCAAGGGAATGTACAATGCATGTGTAAGTTCTTCCAATTTACATTAGTTCAATTAAATAGTTCGTTCCTTGCTAAGCCTTCTTTATTTATCTTTTTGAAATTCTGCTTCAATTAATCGATTATGGTGTGGCAATGGAAGCAAGATGGACTTGCATGGTAAGAAAGATGTAGTTTTTTTTTTTTTAAAGAAGTTAGATGTACGTTTTCAGAAATTAGTTCACTCATATATATATATATATATATATATATATATATATACAGGAACATTGTTCCCAAATTGAGTTTTTACCCAATTTATTTTTCTCTACTCCTCGTTTTAATCCTACTTAATAGTTCTATATATTTTTAATTTATTAAAAGTTTTAAACTGATAGGATATTATTTGTTAGCAATTTTATTATTAATTTTTCCTTTGTCCCTGTCAAATATTGTGTTAATTGTTGACATCTACTCCAAATATGATATATAGACTCAATCAGGGACGGAGCCAGAAATTTATTTTTGGGGGGGCTGAAGTGTATTAAAATTTTTTTTTGTGACGAAATAAATATATTTAATAAGTAAAATTTAGAATCAATAATTATAAAAATAATAAAAACATATAATTATACATACCCAAAAATTTGTTATTGATTAACACTTGAAGTATTGGTAGTTGTTGCACTCGAATAACGAAGAGGAGGCAATTGCATTCTGCGAGTCTTCATCCGTTGAAAACGCTGTAATATTTGCTCATTTTCAATTGTTGCAAAAATATCCTTCTCGATGTATACAACCAGACAGTCATTCATCCACTCGTCTCCCATTTTGTTGCGCAAATCAGTCTTGACAATAAAGCCATATGTTCCCTTGCTAGCACATCCATACATTGCCCGATCAAGTTAAGGTGGTCATAAGAAAAATCATTTAGTATTAAATTACATGATAATGATATGCATCATCACCTGCATAATCAGTCAGTATGTACTAATCTTTTTTATTTTTATTCCTATTTTGTTGGGGGTGCTCAAAAAGGTTATGCAATAATAGTAAATACCTTATTTTGCCCATTTTATTCAATTTCATTGATACGCACGACGGATCTTTTGTGCTACTTTCTGTTTCACTTTTTATCATATTATTTTTTTCTCCTTCATAACATCACATTTTAATTCTTTTTTATTTCCTTAAAATCTAATAACTATTAATTAAATAATACAAAATTTAACACATTTCTATATGTAAATGGCTTAACCGGATGAAGATAATAGATGAAAATGTCTCTGGGTAAGATACCGTATTAAATCTAGGACCTTTTAATCAGTGAGATAAAGGCAGACATTAGACGAATGGGAAAGATGAGGCATCTAAGCTAGGCTAAATGATCAAATCGAATTGGGTAAAAAAAAATAAATCAAGTGAACAAAATAAGAAATTTTTTCAAAACGTTCAGCGGGTATTAGTATAGTTTGCCCAATTTAGTAAGTCTCCTAACTGGGCCGTTGGCAAGGAGCCCAAACGCCCAAGGGGCCCCTGTGTTATTTACGATGGTTTTCTTGGTCTCAGGACATATAAAAAAAAAAATTCTTGAATCTTGAACCTATATATAGGGGGTTTTCCGGCGGCTTGGGGGGGGCTTAAGCCCCCACCAGCCCCCCCTTAAATCCGTGCCTGGACTCAATTTCAGAGAATAGAACAGAAAAATATAAAAAAGGAGGGACTTTCAGGAGAAAATTGAAACTCCTAATAGCTCAAGAGACCTGGCCCACAAGGAAGGAAGCGAAACGGATTTTCGGTTTCTTTGGCTGATGAAGAATTGATCGGTACTAAGGGTTCTACTAGCAATAGCAAATGGGAGCAAGGAAACATTGAGCAGGACCTGACCCTTTGGTACCTTTTGTCTTCACCTTCGGCGGGGACCACAGAGAAAAAGAAAAAAAGCATTAGTCATTGGACTTTAAAAGGGAAGGAAAGAAACGTACAGAGAGGAGAGCTTTTTAGAGCTTAGTTTTCAGGATAGTTTTTAGTTTCCTTTCTTTGCTTGTCAGGCGCACGTCTACTGTTTGATAATATTTCTCAACGAGAAAAATATTTTTTATTTCTCGTTTCTTAGTGAATAACTTAATGCCTTTGCAATCAATTAATTTACGTGGAGATTTATTTATGCAGCGTAGCTAAGCCTTTCATCTAGTCAAGAATCAACTCGACGGCGCAGTCTCAAATATCTGTGAGATCTAATTAGTTTTCACGCGTTTCTTAATTTGTTAATATTTGTGCGTTGCCTATTTGAATTTTCATGGGATTATTTTGTTAATTGGATGTCAAGGACCCGATGTTCAATGTGACTTATTAATCTCCTGCCAAATTAGTCAATTAAATCCGTAATTGTTTAATTGATTAATATTAGTGGCAACTGAAGTATTTACACACTAGGGGAACATGCGATCTAATTTAAATAACCCTCGTAGCGTATTATTGATTGGGGTTAGGTTTTTTTAGATCTTAATGCAATTGGGAAATTAATTCCTACGGTCGTACCTAGGAATATTTTCTGGTTAGGAGTAATCAATGGTCATACCTTGGTTATCAATAAATTAAGGAAAAATTGGTCGTTCGATTTCATCAGCGACTATAACTAGCCTATTAATAAATTAAGTGAACCTCTCTTGCATCAATGATCGGATAAATGGACAGTGTCTGAGTAGTTGTATCCTTGGTTAGAATTTATCTACCCTCGATTTAATTCCTGCTATATTCGTGCTAGTTAATTATTTATTTTTAGTTGAATTATTTAATTGTTTTTAGTTGCATTTTGATAAAATCCCCCTTTTACCAATTGAAATCTCAAAGAGACAAATATTCTCAATCCCTGCGGAGACGACCCTGCTTGCCACTGTCTACTGTTTAGTAAATTTTGTCATTTAATTAATTCTGATATATCGGATTAAACAAATTCTTCGGGAACAGGGTGAATTAAGTAACCCATTGCACACCTAGAGTCCCTACTCCAGTACTTAAGATTAATTATTGACTACTTTTATTGATAGTTAGATTCTATTTTTATTATTACACAGCCTCGACACCCTGTCATAAACACTTTATACTAGATATGTATTAGATACTTTCATAATCGCTATAACCTATGTCGACCTGTGCAACTGCACGGGTTAAAATCTAGTTCATAGTGAGAGAGAGAGAGCAAATAGTACAAATTATCATTAAATTATTTAAAATTCTTTATTTGGATCGCTGAATTTTTTTCATTTATCAAAAATCACAAACACAATTATACTGAAATCCGCGTCTAATGGGGATTCAAGTTCAATAATGATATGGGAGAAAAGGGAATCAAGGAAGACGAACCTTGATATAATTTGCATGTCGCAATCATTTGCTAGAATTATCTTTATCAAGGTTAGTAGGTAGGTCGTCTGTCAGTTTAGCCCATAACTTAGCCGTTACAGGTAGAACTTTATAATTTTCTGTTTATTAATACGATTAAATGTTTTCTTTTCCAATAGAAAAGGAAGACAAACCTTGTCGAGTCTACACGTGCAAAAGAAAATCATGTCGGAAAATAAGTGGCAGAGAACATGGCGGGGTGCCAACGTTATGTCCCAGCGTTCTTGTTTTATGCTTTCTTTTTGTATGATTGAGTGCCTTCATATATATCCATTCTATATAGGTCTAAATTTAAATTAAACCTCCCTAAACTTAAACAATTGTTAAGTTTTGCCCCCCATAAT